CAGCGGCAACCAGCTGGGCCGCATCTCGCCTGGGGCCTTCGACGACTTCCTGGACAGCCTGGAGGACCTGGACTTGTCCTACAACAACCTGCGGCAGGTGCCCTGGGCTGGCATCGGCGCCATGCCCGCGCTCCACACCCTCAACCTGGACCACAACCTCATCGACGCGCTGCCCCCAGGCGCCTTCGCCCAGCTCAGCCAGCTCTCCCGCCTCGACCTCACCTCCAACCGCCTGGCCACGCTGGCCCCCGACCCGCTCTTTTCCCGGGGCCGCGACGCGGAGGCCTCGCCCGCGCCCCTGGTGCTGAGCTTCAGCGGGAACCCCCTGCACTGCAACTGTGAGCTCCTGTGGCTACGGCGGCTGGCGCGGCCCGACGACCTGGAGACGTGCGCCTCCCCGCCGGGCCTGGCCGGCCGCTACTTCTGGGCCGTGCCCGAGGGCGAGTTCTCCTGCGAGCCACCCCTCATTGCGCGCCACACGCAGCGCCTCTGGGTGCTGGAGGGCCAGCGGGCCACGCTGCGGTGCCGGGCGCTCGGCGACCCCGCGCCCACCATGCACTGGGTCGGCCCCGATGACCGGCTGGTTGGCAACTCCTCCCGAGCCCGGGCTTTCCCCAACGGGACCCTGGAGATTGGGGTGACGGGCTCTGGGGATGCCGGGGGCTACACCTGCATTGCCACCAACCCTGCCGGGGAGGCCACAGCCCAGGTGGAGCTCCGGGTGCTGGCCCTGCCCCATGGCAGCAACGGCAGCGCGGAGGGGGGCCGCCCGGGGCCCTCGGACATTGCTGCCTCGGCCCGCACTGCTGCCGAGGGCGAGGGGACACTAGAGTCTGAGCCAGCTGTGCAGGTGACGGAAGTGACCGCAACCTCAGGGCTGGTGAGCTGGGGGCCGGGGCGGCCAGCAGACCCCGTGTGGATGTTCCAAATCCAGTACAACAGCAGCGAGGACGAGACCCTCATCTACCGGTGAGGAGGCACTTTGCAGCCCTCAGCCCCAGCCTCGCTCCCAGCTGCCGTCTGGGCCCCTCTCCGCCCCTCCCGGACTCCACTTCCACACACCCCTCCTCAGCTTCTGAGCTGCCTGCAGGGGCAGGGGAGGGGCAGGCACCAGGGAGAGGTGGGGGGGGCCCCAGGAGCTCTCTGTCCAGGCTAGCCGGTGTTGGGTCTCTGTGCGGAAGCACACAAGCCTGGGCCACGCGGACGTCTTCTTTCTGGCTCTGGCCACGTGACTCTGCACCGCCTCCCTGGCTTGCCCTGGGCTTGTGCGTCCACACACACACTCACACACCCGTCCGTCCCCGTGCTCTGTCCCCAGCTGCACACATGCATGCCTGCCTTGGCTTCTCTGCCTTCTTGAGTCAACAAACGAGGCCCAAGTGGCCCTAGGGGAGGGGAGTGTCCCGAGCTGGGCCCTGGGGAGCATGCGGTGAGGGTGGGGGGTGGGGTCAGAGCCTGGAGCTAGGCTCTGACCACCCACCCCTGCCCGCAGGATTGTCCCGGCCTCCAGCCACCACTTCCTGCTGAAACACCTAGTCCCTGGTGCCGACTATGACCTCTGCCTGCTGGCCCTGTCACCCGCCGCTGGGCCTTCCGACCTCACAGCTACCAGGCTGCTGGGCTGTGCCCACTTCTCCACGCTACCGGCTGCACCCCTGTGCCACGCCCTGCAGGCCCACGTGCTGGGCGGGACCCTGACCGTGGCCGTGGGGGGCGTGCTGGTAGCTGCCTTACTGGTCTTCACTGTGGCCTTGCTGGTTCGGGGCCGGGGGGCCGGGAATGGCCGCCTTCCCCTCAAGCTCAGCCACGTCCAATCCCAGACCAATGGAGGCCCCAGCCCCACTCCCAAGGCCCACCCGCCAAGGAGCCCACCACCTCGGCCGCAACGCAGCTGCTCCCTGGACCTGGGAGACGCCAGCGGGTGCTACGGCTACGCCAGGCGCCTTGGAGGGGCTTGGGCCCGGAGGAGCCACTCTGTGCACGGGGGGCTGCTTGGGGCAGGGTGCCGGGGGGTTGGGGGCAGCACGGAGCAGCTGGAGGAGAGTGTGGTGTGAGGGGAAGGGAGGCGGCCCGGGGCGGGCCGGGGTCGGGGCAGAGGGCGTGGGGCGGGCAGCTGCGGGGCCCGGTGGGTCAGCACTGCCTGGGAGCCCCTCCTGATTTTACCCTTGGTACCTCAGGCCCCCTTTGTACCTGGCAGGACAGGGGGCCCTTTCCCTGGTTCTGGCCTCCAGACCCGCGTTCCTCCGACAGGTGCTCACAGCCACCGAGGCAGGGGGCTGCAGCCACCAAGCGGGAGTCTTGTTTTTCTTTATAATAAAATTGTTGGGTACACCTCAGTGCTAGCCTTGACTTATCCGGCTAGGCTCCCTGAGAGCGGCGGGGAACGTGGGCCAGCAGAGGCACAGACAGGACAGGGTCAGGCCTGGGGCTGTCAGCCCCACAGAGGTGGCCCAAACAGCCCAGGGTGCCCTCAGCCTCCTCTAACAGCCAGGTGCTTGGGGCTGGTGCTTCCTGTCCCAGGTGAGCTGGACCAGCCCCTCGAGAAGGGGAAGGGCTGTGCCTGAGCCCTCTGGGCCCTAGCCTGCGTCTGTAAGTGCAGAGAACACCCCTTCCTGGCAGGATGTGGACAAGATGTGACATCCTCGTAGAGGCATGGATGCCAGGGTGCACAGAGTGGCAACAGGGACAAGGGGACCATGGCACAGCCCTTCAGGGTGTACGGACCTTGGCTGGCAATACACTAACTCAGTAGGAAAGTCCTCATGGCTTCCATTGGGGACAGCCTCATTCACCATCTCCCAGGGCATCTTCTGGATTTGTAAAATGTTATCCCAGAAGAGTTGGAAAAGGCTTGGGATCCCACTGCTCTGCTATCAGCCCAAGACCTCCTGGAAGGTTCGTCAGGGCTAGAGGCCCTGAGCTCCCAGCTGCTCCACGGATTCCCCGCCCCCCCCCGCCCCCCACGGCTTTGCTCTGGGCTTGTCTGGAAAGACTGAGTCAAACCCTTTGTGGACACTGGAGGGGCTAACACCGGGGCAGGAGGGGGGTGCCCACACCCGCAGGGCCACTGCCCTGCTCTGCCTCCTCGACCCAAGATCCCTGTCAGCCTCCGGCCCCGGGCACAGCCTCGGCCAGCCTCTGAACAATCACGGCTCCCAAGCGTCAGCTGGGAGGAATGATGCTCCAGACACAAATGCTTGCAGACGTGTGGCTCTCCACGGTGCTTGGCAGCCCGCCCCCCACCGACGCTTTAAGAACATGCAGGTGCCTGGGCCCCACTGCGGAGGGCGGACACTGGCCTGTGATGGTGCCCAGACTGTGGCGGCCACCGTACTTGTGCCAAGGGGCGCATGGCGTCTGTGTGTGAGGCCCGCCGTGGCTCTAACGGGCAGCCCGGGGGAACTGCACAATAGGTGTGTGCGTGTACACGTGTGCTGGCCAAGCTCACACACTGGTGGGTTTGCACAGTGTTCACACACTCGTGCGCCTGCCCGCCCAGCCGCAGAACACATACCTGGATGTGGCCCAAGAGAGATCCTGGTTTAAATAAATGAAACAAGGTCCTCAACAGAATAGCAGGAGAGGATGAACCCTCCAAGGGGCCGTGGGGAGAAGGCAGAGGTGGCACGGGGCTGAGGGGAGACGAGAAGGAGCAAGGAGCTGCCAGGTGCCAGGTGCGGGAAGCTCTAGATGTGGCAGGAGCCAGCGGCCTCGTCAGGGTGCACATCTGGGAGGACTCTGATGCCCCACGGAACCAGAAACACGTGTCCCGCAGCTGGCCTTCCCACTTTCCTCCTTGTGGGCCCCGTGGCCCCTTCTCCGCCCTCAGGGATCTAAGGCAGGGGGTCCTCATGAGCCTGCCGGGCTGGGGGACAGGTGGAAGGTCCTGTGGCCCGAGGGGTCACAGGCACAGGGGCCAGTGGGGGGGCACCAGTAAGGCCGACAGAGCAACAAGGGCAGGCGGGTGAAGGGTGGGGCAGTCGGGCTCCACACTAGGGTCATGGTGCATGCTGGCCACCCGGCCCCAAAAGCTCCCCTAGTTGGGGAAAAAGCCCCTCAGAGAGCAGCAGGTTGAACACAGGACGACACAACACATCTCTGTACATGCGCAGGAAACAGCCCCCAGGCCAGGAGCCCTGAGGCTTCCCATGGGAGAGCACAGAGACCCCAACACCCTGGGAACACCATCCCCTCGGAGGTGGGCCAAGGGCCTGAGAGGAGACAGCTGACCCAGCACCGGCCCCGCAGGTTCCCTTCCTCTCTCTTTCCCTCCCAAGTGCTTTTTCAAAAGCCTTCTGCACCCCCTCGGGGCCCCTGCCAGGACGCATCACAGAGCCGCGTCAGCGGGTGAGAGGACAGTGCCGCCCGCAGGCCCTGACCCCACCGACCGAGCCCAGACCCCAGGCAGGCCCGGAGGCAGCCAGGAGGAAGTGACACGAAGGGGCCGTCAGCCAGGGCCCCAGCGCACAGCGTGCACGGCAGGCCAAGGAGGGCATCCCCTGCCTTGGACTCCATCCTTTGGACACTCCCAGGACAGGATGAGGCGCTGGCCTGCCCAGCAGCCACCGCACGGTAGGGCCGGGCAGCACAACCCACGAAAGGCAGAGCCCTCCTCCCTGCTCTTCCTGTGCTACAGGGCGGCTGCCGGCAGCATCTGCCCAGGGGATGCCCACGGGTATGTAGGCAGTGCTGGCCTCAAGGACAAGACAGCACATGGCTGTGGTTTCGTCTCTAGCTACGCACACGGGAAACCAAGAGGCCATCGAGCATTTCAGGTGCTTGCCCGGCAGCTGGGCCCCGTGCCTCCCTCTGCCCTGGCTCAGGCCTCCAGCTGCAGCCTCCCTTCCCAGCGGTCCCAAAGGCACCCAACACGACATCATTATGTGCCAGGCCAGGGGATGAGGGCAGTGAGGGCAGACAGGGGGCTCATTTTATGGAAAGTGACCCTGTCCACACAGGCTTGTGCTCTCTCACCCAGGGTTTTCCTGGGGTTCAGAACTACCCGGACAGCTTATTCAAAACGCAGGCTCTGGGGCCTCCACCTCAACCTGTGGGATCAGAACTTCCAGAAGGGAGGCCTGTAATATGTGGGCTGAACACAGACTCCAGGTGATCTCACCTAAGAAGGGCAAGAAGGAGCGTGGGGCTCCCCGGAGCAAGACTCCTGGCTCTGGCCGAGGCCCCCCCTGAGCACTGAGGAGCCCAGGCCCACTCCCAGGGCAGCTGAGGGGCCAGGCCCCAGCAGAGGCAGAGCGGCCAAGGGACAGGACTGGGGCGGGCCCGAGAGCGCCTGGAGGCAGGCAGGGCCGACAGCCTCTCACCTTTACACCTCGGACTCGGAACTCGGCAAGGGCTCTGCTCATCTTGGTGGCAGCCGTGGGGTGGTCTTTGCCGTGGGCGATGACTTTGACGAGCAGGGAGTCATAGTGTGGGGATATGACAGCCCCTTGGAAGGCAGACGCGTTATCCAGGCGGATGCCCATGCCCTCTCCGCTCCGGAACACCTGCGGGCAGAGGCAAGCAGAGTCAGGAACTGGGCCGGGAGCAGGAGTCCAGATGCGGCCCCCGGGCCAGGCTGGACGTGTGGGAATGCGGCAGGGCGCCGGGCCTCGCACAAGGGCGCCAAGTCTCCTAGCGAAGTTCTGCCTCATTTCCGCCAGCGAAACAAGGGGCATCCCTCCTTCTCTGGGTGCCACACGGTCACTGCTTCCTTCCCCCGAGAGGAGCTGGCAGGGGAGGGGGCAAGAGAGGGTCCAGGACAGGACCTTCCCAGCCAGCCCCAGGGCTGCAGGCCCAGAGCTCAGCAGAGCACGGAGAGCAGCCCTGGGCAGGCAGGGGCCGAATCCGCCCGACCTTCCACCCGCCTGCCTGACCAACCCTCTTGCCTCTCAGATTCATTCATCCCCCCAGACATTTGTGCCCACCACATGCCAGGCACCAGAGTGAGTGGCTAAAAGAGGTGTGTGCCCCCTGCTGGGCAAGGGGGCGGACAAACAAGGAAAACTGGACTGGGGACAGGGACACTGCAGGATGCAAGCTGGGCAGGGAGGGAAGGCAGGCCAAGGGGTTTTTGTTTTAACACACACAGTGAAGGGATGGGGAAGGCCTCAGTGTCCCCCCCCACCTTCCCTTCCTTCCAAAAGGGGAGAATGGGAGGGAGAAGGAGGGGAGGCAGAGGAGATAAGATACTAAGAGCAGGGAGAAGGGCCGGACATGAGGTGCGTGCCCGCATGCCCAGAGAGGGAAGCAGGGCAGAGAAGGACCTGGGTCCCGGAGGCAGACTTATGGGGGCGGGCGGGGGTTCCAAGTAGCAGCTGGACAGAGACAGGGTCCTGCGGGGACAGAGGTTCGTGGTGTCTGGGGTAACAGGTACACACATGAACATCCGTGATGCGGCCCGGGCTGAGTCCCAGCAGGGCGAGCCTGCACCTGGGCCAGGGGACCCCTGTGAGGCTGAGGGAGGAAGACGGGGAGTGGGAGGGACAGCCCAGGGGGCTTGGGACACCCACTGCACCATGTTTCCGCTTCTAAGGGACACAGGCCTATGTTCGATAAAAAGGAACTTAATAAAATATTTAAGGGTGAACGCTCAGCTGTGAGCAGGAACTGTCAGCTAAAAATATTCTGTGGTTAACCAGGCTCAGAGGAGCCAGGCCTTGGAAGTGGAGGTGGAGGAAGGCAGTGGTGCATCGCAGGGCTGCCCCTTCCCCGCTGAGGGCAGAGAAGTCAGGGGCCCCCACTAGACAGCACTCCAGCCTTCAGGCTGGCCCCCACCTATGGACTTGGATTGTTCCAGAAATGGAATTCCAGTGGCAGCTCTCTGCCTCAAGCCTCCCAGCTCTGCAACTTTCAGAATCCAGATCCTCTCTTTCCCTCCCCGCATCACTTGTTTCTCAGAAGCCCAGTATCTGTCTCCAAATCATCCTGGCCCTCTCCCTGGGCCAGAACCTGAGCTCCTGCGCATGTCCTGCTTCTTCGGAGGCTCAGACCAGATGGGGAAGCAGTAAAGCAGCGGAGCTGGTAGGAGTGCTGCTGAAGGTTCCAGAAGTATTCTGAGCCAGCGTGAGCTAGAGCGCCAGGGGACAGGCACCCCAGCGGTTCAGAGGGCGCCTGCCCCAAGCAGGCCCAGAGGCTGGGAGTGGGGAGGGGCGGGGGAGGGCTGTCTGTGCTGAGAAAAGAGAGGGGGAGCAGGACATACTCCCGGGGGCAGAGGCACGGCAGGGCCGACCTCCATGTCTGCCCACCCAGCCCTGGGCGGCCCCGATCCGGCCTCCTCCCTGCCTTCCACCTTCTCCCTGCCGCATGACTGCGGCATTGATCCATAATAGGCGCCTCGCTCAGCCTGTCCTCTCCACTGGGACATCTGGGCCCCAGTCCTTTGCAGCAACCCCTGGGTCCTGCCTTGCCAACACATTCCCTCAGACCGAAGGCAGGACAGAGGCCACTGCTCTGTCCTTGGGCTCTCGTAAGAAGCCAAAATCAAGGGCCTGGGCTTCGTTTCTGGGGACCCTACATTTGGCTCCACCCAGCTGGTCTGCTCCCTGTTCCACACGATTCACTCCCTGGTTCTTTAATCTGTGCTCATGGCTGTCTCCCCCTGGAATGCTCTCTCCTTACTCTTGGACAGAGCCCGGCTCCTGCGTACCCTCAGCCATCCCAAGCGAGGGTTCCCTCGCCCCTCTGGGCCCACAGGAGGGTCTCCCCGCCCATGAGACCAGGGCGTGTTCCGTGGGAAGGCTGACGTACCTCGATGCGGCCAGTGTCCGGCTGGAAGCTGCGCGCAGGGTCCTCCGTGGTGACCCGGCACTGAATAGCACAGCCGTTGATACGGATGTTCTCCTGCCGCAGGCCCAGGTCAGGCAGGCTCCGGCCCTCGGCCACGTGGATCTGGGCATGGACCAAGTCCACACTGCAGAGGGGCAGGGAGGAGCAGAACATGAGGCAGGGGATGGATGAGGAGGGTGGTCCCCACCCCTGCCTGCCGACTCTTCACCCGCTCCTTCCCACCAGACCAGCAGCCCCTGCCCGGTGCCCACTTGGGTCAGGAACCCCAGGCAGTCTGAATAAGGAGGTGGCAGCCGGAGAGGGGCCAACTGGAATATGTGCATCTACCTGTTCTGGTACCCACCACCAAACGGCCCCTCCCCATACTCTGCCCTACTTTCTCCCTAGGGTCTCTCCTGCCTCCCCCAAACCCTCGCTCGATGAAGCCGGACTTGAAGGCTCAGACACTCCATGTGGAGAGCGGTACGCACTACACCCCGACAGAGGCAGGGGGCGGTCTGCAAGAGAGCGGGGTTGTGACCACGGGGCTTGCTGAAATGGGAAACACAAGCCGTTGGGAGGGTCCACGAGGGGATGTGCCGCGGGGAGGGTGCCGTCCTCCCGGGATCTGTGCGGTGGCTGGGCTTGTGCCCGAGACCCCACCCCATAGGAGATCTTAGTGCACAGAACTCTCCAAGTGTGCATGATTTTATAAGCTCAGCCTCACTGACTGCCATGCTCCTAAGGACAGCGACAGATTTCGAAAAAAACAAAAACCAAAAAAACTCAAGGTTTTAAATGTATTGTCACTGAGGCTTGTGACAGGGACAGCCTGCAAACGGCACTGGCAGATTTTCCCCGGTGTCCTATAGAGCACTTCACAGTAGTGAGGACGACTACTGTGCATCCCTGTATCCACACACCACGGACTTAAGGCTGTGTTCTTTTCAAGCTTGATCTCCACGATGATGCTCTGAGAGTCTGTCATTTCTATCAGAGGAGGAAGAGCCTGAGGGTCAGAGAGGCTGCAGCTCACCCAAGCTTTGCGTGGATAGTGGCCGGGGAGGAACCTGCACCCTGTGTCTGTGGGGTCTGTGTCTTTCTGACACAAAACCCCTACTCCTGAGCAAGCACAGATTTCCACCCTTAACACAGCAGGCTTGTGGCAGGCCCGAGATCAACCACAAGTTTACAGCGGCGCAATCGGGCAAAGTCTCATGGAGCCAGAATCCAAAGCCAAGGCGTCCACCTCAACTCAGCCTTTACCTCGAGAGGACAAGGAGTCTGGAAGCCTCTGTGCACCTGCTGAGCAAAGGCAGGCGCCCCCACAGCATCCTCAATCTCAGGTGGGGGTTGGGGGAGGAACAAACTGTCAGAAAAGTTCCAGGGTGAGGTGGACCGGCCCAAAGCCAGGGCTTCACACTTAAATGGCTCAAAATAGGATCTTGAAACAACTGAATGGTTTATAAAATGGGCAGATTTTTAAGTGTCTCTACTCAATGCTTATGGGAGAACAAACTGATACAAGCAATCTGGAAACCTGATTAGGCTTCGCTCAGGTAACCACATGGAAAGTGTCTATCCCCAGAACCCTTGAGAGGGGAAGGGAAAGAGCTAGGCACAAAGATGGTAACTGACCACCCTTACGAGCTGCAAAAACCAGAAACGACCTGAGTGTCTAGCAATGGAGGGCCATGTACCTAAGTTATGAAACACACACCTACAGTTTCAGAAAGAACAGTGGCCTGGAGGATGCTTTCAATTAAGTAGAATAGAAATTCTACACATAACATCTCAATTGTGTCAAACTATTTATATGGTAAAATAAATAAAGATGGAACAAAACCAGGAGAGTTAGAGCACGCACAAGCAATGCTGTGCTGGGCTGGCAACTCTCTTGCCCTGAGCCTCCGGCTCCTCATCTGAAACCCTGGAGATGAGACCTTCCCCCGGCACACCCGGCCCGAGCCGCCTCAGGATCCTGGTTTTGAGGGTGGAGTTCTCAATCTTTTTATTTGCTCCTTAATTCTTACAATAGGCATATAATGCTTTCCTTTCCTTTTTCCTTTCCCTCCTTCCTTCTTTCTCTTTCTTTTCTTTCTCTCTCTTCTTTTTTTTTTTTTTTGAGAAAGAGAGAATCTTAAGCAGTCTCCATGCCCAGCACAGAGCTAGATGCAGGGCTCTATCCCATGACCCCGAGATCATGGCCTGTGCTAAAGTCAAGAGTTAGACGCTTAACCCACTGAGCCACCCAGGCGCCCCACAGATAATGCTTTTCCAATAATAATTTTTGTAAAAAGTAAGTACCTAGATCCCTGACTGCTCTCTAGCACAGTGGAGATACGCTGAGCTCCCCAGGAGCCGCTGAATGGATTTCACCAGAAAGGTGGAAGCTGCCCCTTCCCAGAGGCTGCCGCCCCCACCGCCCCCGCCCCACTCACTCGGTGATCTCCTCGGTGACAGTGTGCTCCACCTGCAGGCGGGAGTTGACCTCGATGAAGTAGTGCTTGCCGTGTCTGTCCACCAGGAACTCCACCGTGCCCGCGTTCTCGTAGCCCACCTGAGGGGCGGTCGCATCAGTGGGGCCCGACTGATGGGGCCTGGCAGCCACTCTGGCTCAGCCTCAGCCATCAGGCCGGTTCCAAAAGGAACAGACCGCCACATGCCCTGCCCCAATGGACAGCACAACCAGCCCTGCCCCGGGGCGAATGCCCGCAGCCCACGTAGCCCACGGCTGGGCCCCTGCCTGGCCGGCTCCCCAGGACTCCGCCTGAGCCTCTGGTGGCTGCACCGGCTTGTCTGGGGCAAGATTCAGCAGCTGCCATGCACCCCAGACTCGGCACCCTCTCTCCAGAGGACAGCATCCCAGCACCCTCTCAGCCACACCTACCCCGGCCTCTGCTGGACCTCCTCACTCTCAGAGGGTTTTCAGAAAGTTCCCTCTGCTCTACTCGTCACCACCTCTGGCCATGACCCAAAGAGGTGTCCGCTGAGAGGAACCAACAGTGATGATTCTAATGCAAAATTCAACCCTCATTCCAGTCTCACTCTGGTCCTACCAGAACCACAAAACAGACTTCATTTAGCTCCCTCAAATCTGTTATAGAGTGACACGTGTCCTAATAAGCCAATAAATTAGACCCAGCTCCAGGTAAGATTACTTCTCATATGAAATAACCCAAATGTCAACTCTAAACTAGAGCCTGACCAAGCCTCATATTAACTGTGGCTGAAACCTCTCTGCAGAGCGCTGCCCCGGTCTTTCAGCCGGTAAGGTCACAGAATCGTCTGCTGCCTGAGAGGTCTGCGGGAGCACAGCTCTGGAAGGAGAGCAGGACCAGGGCCCACCCCGTCTGCTGGGGAAGGCAGATCTGAGAAGATGCTCTCCCCCGGGGCCCCGGGAAGGGGAGGCCGGGGTGGGCGCAGGGTGCCTGGACTCTGAGAGGGGGAGGGCTCTCTTCTGAACAAAGAACAGACAGCGGGACCCCTGCTACAGGCCTGGCCATGGTAGGTGGTCTCCGGGGCAGGCCTGGGGGGCAGGTCACTGCTGGGGGAGCCAGTATGCCATCTCCCGCCTCCATGCCCAGTAGAGCGAAGACTGGCAGAAGAGGACCTGAGGATTCAATGGGGGGCAATGGATGTGATGCCGGGGACGGTCGAGAATGAATGAGAAGAAATGCCTTCATAATGTTTCTTAATCTTGCCAGAATCCACTGGATCTCATTCCTTTTGTTCCAGTGGTTAGTCAGTGCCACGCAGAAGCTCCATCTGTGCAGAGTGGCCAGTGGCCTTTTTCCCTCCCTCTTCTCAGCCTTTCTGGATTCCAGGCTTGGGTCTCTGGGCCTGGAACCTCTGCTCTCACACAGCGAGGATCCCAAAGAGCCCATGTCAACCCTTTCTCCTCCCAGACGGTCCCTACCCCACCCTCCCAGAGCCAGTCACTCTGGGCCTCCCTGCTCCCTAGCAGACCGTCCCCATCCGGACAGGACCCCTGGCATGAGGCCTAAGCCAGCAGGAGCTCAGAGGGAGCCTCTAGGAACAGGCTCCTTATGTCCACCTGGGAGACTGTCCCCAAAGGCCCCTGCCCTTCACCTGCTTAGCAAGTTTGACAGAGTCACTGGTGAGCCGTGTCCGAAGCTGGGGGTCCAGGTGGGCGGCAGGGGCAATCTCAACCACTTTCTGGTGCCGCCGCTGGATGGAACAGTCTCGCTCATACAGGTGCAGAATGTTCCCGTACTGGTCTCCTACAGTGAAAGGGAAACTCAGCTTCTCCAGGGATCTAAACACTTCCCAAATACCCACCAACCCCCACACAACTACTAGGGCCGATCAATGTCGGCTCCCAGCAGTCGGAGCAGTGAGCAGAGAAACCACCACCACCAAGGCCTGGGCCCTGACCAGTCCAGACTCCACAGCCTGCCTTGGGCAGTGGCCCCGCGAACGCTCACCTAGGATCTGCACCTCGATGTGGCGCGGCTTCTCGATGAACTTCTCCACAAACAGCGCTCCGTTCCCAAAGGCGGCCAGAGCCTCCGAGTAGGCCCGGTTGTAGTTTTCCTCCAGCTCCTGAGAGGCAGGCAAGCGGAGCAGACACTGGGCCCTATAGCTCTGTCTCATCCTCTGCAGGACCCCACCCATTCTCGGAACCCCAGGGTCTGCTCTGTGGGTGGCCTCACAGTCCAGCTGGGCTCCCTGCTGCTCCCAGCCCTGGGCTTCTGCTCACCTCATAGCTGTGCACGACCCTCATGCCACGCCCCCCGCCCCCATAGGCGGCCTTGAAGATAATGGGGAAGCCGTAGGTGTTGGAGAACTCATGGGCCTCGTGCAGGGAGGTGATGGGGGCATCTGTGCCAGGGACCACGGGGACACCTGTTGGGAGACAGGCACGTGGGTCCTCTGTAACAGGCTGGAATCCCTGCCCAAACCCGCCAGCCCCCTCCTTGGACAGCCCCTCCTGAGCCATGCGGCCCCTGGTGGCCTGTCGGCCACACGTACCTGCAGCAATGGCAATGGCCCGGGCCTCCACCTTATCTCCCATCTTGCGGACCACCTCGGGGCTCGGCCCGATGAAGCGCACACCGGCATCCTGGCAGGCCTGGGCGAAGTCCGCTCGCTCCGACAGGAACCCGTAGCCAGGGTGCACCGCATCCACGTTGTTTTCCTGGGGGCAGGAGCAGTGAGAGGAGTGCAGCAGCTCTCCAATTCCTTTACACAGGCCCAGAGCCAACCCCGTGGCCCGTGCACCTCCCCCCACCCCACTTGGTTCGCTCGTTCGTTCATTCATTCATTCATTCATTCATTCATTCATTCATTCATTCCCCTATTCACAGACACTTACTGCAGCTGGCCTGGAGGCCACGCATAGCACCCAGGCCCGCCCTGATCACCTTGGCCACCTTGATGATGTCTGGGATGTGCAGATAGGCCTGCACCGGGGCGAGGCCGCGACCGATGAGGTAGGCTTCGTCTGCTTTCTGCCGGTGCATCTGGCCTGTGTCCTGCTCCGAGTAGACAGCCACAGTGCGGATACCCAGCTCTGTGCAGGCCCGGAACACGCGGATGGCAATCTCCCCTTGAAAGGAGTGGGCAAGGGACAAGACGCTAGATTCCTGGGTCCTTACAGAAGCAGAAGCGGGGTGGGGAGCTGGTACGCAGGGCAAGGGCAGAACAGGAATGCTAAGGCTGGGCTGGATACGTGGTTCCTCTCGCCGGCCCCAAGGGCACTCACCTCTATTGGCCACCATGACTTTCTTGATGGGCTTGTACTCCAGGCGCCGGACATTTGGGGAGGCAGCGGGGGCGGTGGAGGCTCGGCGGATACGCAGGAGCCTCAGGCCCCCACGGACAGTTTGGAACTTCAGCATCTGGGAAGTCAGAGCCGGGTTAGAGCAGATTCGGCAAAGAGGGTTCCCCTCAGGAAGAGTGAGGGTCCCACCCCAGCCCCCCTCCCTCACTGCCCCTTAGTGCCCCACACGAAAGCCAGCAGGCTCACCCTCAATCCCTGGCCAAGCCCAATAATCCCTGGGGTACTGACTGGCTGTAGGGAAGGGAAGCAAAGTTAAACCCAAACAGAATCCAAGCTCACCCTAGCGCTCTAATAACTTTCAAAACACTTCCAGCTCCTAAAGCAATCCTGCGTGCCCTCAATGTGCGTTCGTCAGAGTCCCCTTCGGTGCCCTCTCCGGGGCCCAGCAGCCTGGGTTTTAGGACCTCCCCGCGCCACAATGGCCCCTGTGTCCCTCCACTGGGGTTCCGCCTGGCCAGGCCAACGACGGTAACAACAGATCTCCCAAGGAGCCAACCTGCATCAATGTGCCGTCTCAGGAAGCAAAGCCTCCGCTCAGACTTCAGGAGCACGACTTCTTCACACAGTGGTAGAAGCCTCCTTCTCTATCAACGGCCACCTGAGGTGCACTGAACTCCAGATATCACCCCGTGATCTCCCCCTCACAGCTCCACTAGCAGCCTGATCCCCTGAGATTTGCTTCAGGTAACCGGCCCACTGGGAGGGGCACGCTCTCCTGGGGGAGCCACTGGAGCCCACCGCCCTGGCAGACGACAATGGCACACATACCAGAGAGCACCCACCTCACCTCGTCCTGGGCACCGAAAGCCTGCTCTGCTCGGGGCCACAGGCAGCTCTGCAGTGGGGACAAGGCCCCGTAGAAAGAGTCCAAACTACCACATAGGGTTAAGTCAAGAAGAAGCAAAGCGCTCCTTTAGGACAAGCTCAGAAACAGAGCAGTGAACAGGAGTGGTTAAGAAACCATTAGCAGTTTCACCACAGACAAGAGAGAACAGTGAGGTGACACTTGGCCTATTAAATTAGCAACAGTGTTGTAAAACAACCAGATTTAGTGTGGGTAAGGCCTATGGGAGACAGACCCACCAGGTGAGGTCCGGATATCAGGGCAGCTCTCTGGAAAGCTCCCTGGAAATTCTATCAAGAGCCTTTGAAATATTTCTGCCCCTTGGCCCTGTGGTTACCATTCTAGGAATTTAACCCAAGGAAATATTCTAAAATGGGAACCAAGATGGATGCAGAAAGATGTTCAAAACAGCATTATTTACAACAGCAAATAATTAGAAGCCACTTAAAGATCCAACACTAGGGCATCTATACAGATGTAATGTAACCATTAAAGATGCTTGTTTGCACAGCTCTGATGACAAGGGGAATGCTTGTGATACAACGTGATGCTACGGAAATTAAAACGGTAAATAATATGATTTCAGGAAGCTTTTTTTAGGCAAGGAAAATAACTGGAAAGAGCTCTGTCAGACAGCATGTCACTCACGCCCATGTTCTAGAATTGGTGCAGTGTTGTTCTTTTCCTTCTTTATGCTTCTCCATACAGTCTATACCTTCTCCACTGGGGATGTCATTTACAATTAGCACGACGGAGACATATACGGAAGGGATCGGAAGATCTTTGTGGAAAAAAGCTAAGTGGAATGTCTGAATCGTCTCCCTGGGGGAGGTGAAGAACTCCCATATATCCTGCGAAACAACAGTGAGGCTGGGCCCCCTCCCCCCCACACACAGTGGGGCCACCTCACCTTCCTCACCTCTTGCCCCAGGTGAGCCAGCTCCAGGTCTTCTTTACCTGTCTACAGGTGAGCAGCCTCATGGCCCGGGCCAGTGGCACCAAGATTCTCAAACCTCTGGAAGTTTCAACTATTTCCGGGGAGGCCCAATTTTTTCTCCCACCTGGGTGGGTTTGCTCCTGCTATCCCTCAGGCACTTACCCCGTCATCTTGTGTATGAACACCCCCTCATACTCCCTGCTTTTTCCAGATACAGAAAGGGATCCCTGGAAGCTGTGCAGAGGGTGGGCACCAAGTGCCTCCCAGCTCACAGTGAGGAAAAGAGGGAGCCTAAAACACCCACGCAGGCCTCAGAGCGCCCCCCCCCCGCCACCACACACACTCCCATGTCTGATTCTCACAGACCCTGCAGCCTGGCCTTCCCTGGCGAGACCACCTTACACACCAAGAGCTGGGCTCTGGGCCGGGGACAGAAGGACCAGGGATGAAGTAAAATGTCCTCTCATTCCCAGAACATGTCCACCCTTCTTAGAATTTGGCTAGCTCAGCACCCAGCCTCTTCCCTTGTCAAATTCTACTCTCCTCCTAGACCTGAAACCCAGGGGTGGGCGGTCAGTTGCCTGGTGCCTCCTGAGGCCTTTCCAGAATCAACTACAGCTGGAGGAAACCTGAAGGACAGAGGTGGGCTGCCTCACAGAACCCTCTTCCTCCGGGAAGCAGGACATTCGTGGGTCGTGTGTGATGAGTCCACTCTGGGTATGTTGAGCTTGTGGGCTCTGGGATGGGCCAAAGGGAGGTGCTGAGTGGGCAGATTCCACTGCTCCCTGAATCTCGCCCCCTCTCCCAACCCAGAAGGGAGGAGAGGCCCCTGTGCAGTGCTTGGTGGGGGGAGGTGGGATGGAGGCAGGAAGCTTCACTGTTGGAGGCACCTGGCCAGACCCACCAGTAGAAGCAGAGCCCCTGGGGTGGGAGCGGAGGGCAATGGGGAGGCCGCCGGGTACCAGGCTCCCTTCCCACAGCCCTCCTAGAGGGGCTGCCTCTGGCATTAAATGGGGCCCCTTGCTCAGAGATCAAGCCCTGGCATCGTGGAGTGACCTGAGTGCCAGCCTCACCTCACACTGGCACTTTCCCAAAAACAGCCTCCGGAGTGTCGGCCTTCCCTCGGGCGCTGTTCCAGGTGGCATCCTCGTCATCCTCACACCAGGGCAGAGAACAGCCACAGGTGCTGGTCACAGGTGAGTGGTGTGCGGCTGGGGCCAGGCTCCCAGCATGGGTTTTCGGTGGGTGGATGGTAACTAAGAAATCCTCAAACTCACGGACAGTTTGGCTAAGAATCTCCCTTAAAAGCTCCAAGGGCCTCGTTAACCAAACCTGGCATCTTGGAAAGCCCTGGAACCCTTGGGCTGGGGAGGCTGCTCTCCCTCCTCAGGAGGAGAGGCCGCTCAGATGCGGCCCAAGCACAGCAAGCGCCTGGTTACCTGCCCCAGGCACACCATGTCGCCTTGCTCCACACGGGGGATGCACAGGAGCAAACATCTCCTTCCCTGGTCTCAGCGATGGGGAAAGAAGCCGTGAGTAAGAGAAAAGCAACAACCATCACCCGCAGACCCCTTACCCTGGTTTCCTCTCCAGAGAGCTGACCGTCCCAGAGAGGCCTGTTCGCTATTTTTTGCAAATGCCAGCTGACAGATCCCTTTCCTTGGCCTCGGGGTGTGCATTAGAGACAGGGAGCAAGACGGCTTTGACTCTCACTCGGGCCGCATAAACAGCGCCCTGCCAGCAAGCGGAGGCACAGTGAGGCAGGGGGTGTCTGCAACACCCGCTTTCTCCCCGCCGCCTCTCAGCACGACTCCACACTTCCTGCTTCTCTCCGAGCTTCGATTTCTCCTCCAACACTGGATCAATAAGCTCAGCGCTCTCCTTCGAGAAGGCAGTGGTAACAATCAAGTCAGGAAGGTGCCTACAACAACCTGTGGAAGGAGGGAGGGGAAAGGTCGGGGCGCCTTCTGCCCAGTCTTGATGGCCCGCCCGCTTGGCTTTGAGGACACGCAGCACTCCCCAGCTCTGCCTACGTGCCAGGCCAGTGCTGGCAGGTGGGGACCCGTGCCGACCGCACCCCGAGCAGCGCCTTTAGTCTTCACCAGGTACGGAGCTACGCACGGGATGTAATCAAGTACCAACTCAGGCAACTCTTACCATTCCTCATCGCACCCTTTACAGGTAAGGAACCACACCCAGGCCACCCAGCAGGGCTGGTTTTGAGGCCAATGTGTATGCCGCCCTCCAGAGCGGGAGCTCTGATCCATCAGGGCATATGGAGTCTTCACCAACTAAAGGAGTAAGTTGTGGCTTTCATCGAAAGCACAGCGTGATGGGCGCTTGGAAACCAAAACCCCAAAAATCCCACTCCTGATAAAAGCCGTCACTGGCCTGAACTTCCAGCAGGGCCACCAGTGGCCTCTGCAGGTCCCACCAGGGAGCAGGCCAACAGTGCCAGCAATCCTGTGTCCCCAGTAAGCTAGGCTAGCTTCAATTTGTCCAATAAGTCACCAAAATGTCACTAGAAGTACCACCACTGCAGACCTAAACTACATCTCCTAGGCTGCCTCTTGCAACCAGGAACAGCACAAAATTCGGCTGTCAGGCCATCGTCGTCCACATTTTTGTCCACACAATACGGCCACCGTGCTCAGGGTGGGTGTGCTCTCAGCCAGAGGAGCCCTGCTGGGACCAGGGTAAGGCTGCCACCTTCGTGGTGGAGCCAAGCGTCAGGCCCTGGAATGCTCCTTCAAGGATCTGTCAGGGGCGCCTTCGGCTCAGGTCATGGTCCCAGGGTCCTGGGATTGAGCCCCACGTTGGGGCTCCCTGCTCCGTGGGAAGCCTGCCTCTCCCTCTCCCACTCCCCCTGTTCCCTCTCTTGCTGTGTCTCTCAAATAAATAAATAAAATCTTTAAAAAAAAAAAAGGATCTGTCCAGAGTTTCCACCCTAAATAGCTGTCATGTAGCATCTCCTACAGCCTCGGAGGGCAGCTGTGGGCAGGAGGCACACCGGAAGGGGAAGCCATGGCCCTGCTTTGGGGGTGCCTGGCTGATGGAGGTTTTGGAAGCCCACAGTCTGGGCTCCCCGCCGCCCGTTCCCAAGCCCCTCGGCACATCCATGTAGGAGGGCAGCCAGAGGGGGTGAGAAGAAGGGAGAGTGGCTCAGAAACAGGCCCCAGGGATCTCCAAATGAACGAACAAGATTCCCATACATCTGCTCCCCTGACCCTCCCAGCACGCGCACCCCCACCAGGCTCCAGCCCCGGCCCCCAGCTGGCCTCGGCAGTGCCAGCAAAAGCAGGTCAAAAGCAGAAGGAAGGAGCTCTTGGCAGAGGACTCCAGCCGTGGCAGAAGCGAGCCTCTGATGGATGGGGCCACTCCTGGGGAGCTTTCTCTCCAGGCAGCTCTGCGCTGTCCTAACCGTGTCCAACGGGGGCCCCAGGGCTGGTGGCCAGCAGGGACAGATGAAAGGAAAGAACTCAGCCGGTATCAAAGCGCCCAAGAGAGGCTTGACTAAGGCTGAGATGTCTGGGTAGGGGGAGCTGAAGAGAGGACACAAAAGCAGGGAAGGTGACAGACAAGAAGAAAGGAGAACGAGAATACCAAAGTCAGAGACGGGAGAGGAAACAGCACGTGGCCTGGGGCAGCTCAGCTGCCTGCTACCGTGAGTGGCCTCCGTGGTTCAGAGCCACGCCAGCATGGCCCCACAAGCCCTTGATTTAAGGCTGCAGGGACAGGGGAAGAGGGTGGGACAGCCACACTGGGACAAATGGTGCTGCGTGGGCTGCCAGGATATGTAGGCAGGGGCGTGGATCAGGCTCCGAGAAAGGAGGCGAGCCAGGGGTCTGGGCCTGCAGGGCAGTGGCAGGAAGGACAGGGATGAGGAGGGTGCAACTGGCATAGCAGGGGCTGCCCTGACCCAGCCTCTTTCAAGGGCAGGGGAGACTGGCAGGTTGAACACTGCCCCCTGGTGCAAAAGGAGAGCTACTGCCGACCTGCGCACGCCTGCCCAGGTACCAGAGCGTCAGAAGGCCACTGGCCCTGACAGCTCCACATCCTTTAGGACTCACTCAGAAGGCATTCCTGGACATCACACCTCCTCAGCGAGCTCCACACCCTCCCTGGAAAAGCTCTGTCACTGTCCTTGCCACACTCCACTGTCTTCCTGTCTATGGAGGATGTCTGTGAGGTCACATCTGTCCTCGGGAAGGAGCACTTAATGTTATAACGATTCGTTGACCCATCTCACGAGACACTGGGAGGACCTTGGTGACGGGATCCTCGGTTTATTTTGTCCTTTGCTGTCTCCCTTGTCCTCTGTACTGTGCCTGACGCCGTGATTAAATGTCTGGGGAATGAATTAATGAACGAACAAATGAACGAATCCTTCAGATCACGAGTTTCCAGAAATATTATGGAATGCTGAGACAAAGAGTCACAGCCCCTCCTAGGAGCAGCACACACAAGTTAGTGGGACATACAAGTGCCTCTTACACACAGATTAGAGCCCAAAGTGTTAACAAGGAAGTTTAGCTGAAAGGGCAAGTTCAGCAAAAAGCTCCTCCCAAACAGAAGATGGGAACCAGGAGGGCTGAGCAAGGCAACTGGCACTCCATTCTGGACAGTGGCTGTGCAGGGAGACAGACCCCAGAATGCAGCAGGCACGCGGGTGGGCCAGGAAGCTCCCTGACCCCTTCACGGCACACCACCCCCGCTGAAAAGTCATGGAGGACACCCTCCCCACTTGTTCACGCAGTTCTCCCCAGTCCCAGGGTGGCAGGAAAGTAGATGCCAGTGTATGGGCTGAACCGTGTTCCCCAAGGAGGCCTATGGAAGCCCCAAACCCCAGGGCCTCAGAATGTGACCTTAGTTGGAACTGCATGGGTATTCAGTGAAATTGAGGCCCTTAGGGTGGGCCCTAATACAATATGCTTGATGTCCTTATAAAAAGGGGAAATTTGGAACCAGAGAAAGACAAACACAGAGGGCAGATCCTATGAAGACACACAGGGAGAAGACGGTCATGTGTCCAGAAAGATTCATCTAGAAGGCTTGCTAGAAAGTACCAGAAGTCAGGAGATAAGGAAGGACCCTCCCCTACAGCTTTTGGAGGAAGCAAGGCCCTGCCGACACCTTGATTTTAGACTTCTGGCCTCCAGAAGTGTGAGATAATAAATCTCTGTTATGAGTTTCGGGGACTTTGCTTTGGCAGCCCTAGGAAACAAGCAGACCCAGGTTCTCCACTGATGACCAGAACCTACTGAGACCCTAAAACCAAGGACCAGGACAAGGGAGGCCACAGGCTGGTAAAAATGTCCCCTTCTTTCACCTGCTCAGGCTGACCCAGGCCACAGCAGGGCCTTCAGAGTACGGAGCTATTTAGGATTGTGGTCAGTGTCCCCTCCAGGGAAGGCCGAGTGGGAGGCAGCGACCACGAGCAGCGAGCAGCGCCAGCACGAGCATGCAGCTGCACGGAGAGCGGGCAGGCAGCAGGACGACCTCCTGAAGGACACCAGGGCCGAATCTTCAAGGACGAGGAGAAGGGGGAGGCGGTTCAGGCGTGGGGCAGCTGGAGCGAAGGCAAAGGAGGGAACAGCCTTGTAGTGGCTGTGCACTGAGGCCAGAGGCAGGAGTGAAGGTGCTCAGGAGGAGGTCAAGGGCCAGCACCTGGACTCGGACACCAGGTCAGGAGCTTGCAAGCACAGCAAGGGACGAGGACCGTATCCCTGAGGTCGGGAGGTGCCAGCCAAGAAACCAGGCAGGGGAGAAGAGACCTGCAGTGTGGCGGGACCCCTCCGGCCGTTCTGAGGAAGCTGGATGTGAGGAGGAAAGACTAGAAGGTGGAAGACAAATGAGGAAGATGTTCTAATGTAGGCCAGAGACAACAAGAACCCAGAAACACGGCGGCAGCAACACCACCAGCACCTCTTAGACGAGGGGTAGTGGCCACAGGTAAGGAGGACTCGTGGCTCCTGCTTGAAAAGCAGGAATGAACAGCAGTGATGCCCAGTGATGCCCCGTTAACACAGAAGTGTAGGTAGCGAGCAGCGAGGAAGAGCAACACCCGCGGCCCCCGGGAGGACTGCTCGGTCCTGAGACCCCTCAGGTCACATGCCAGGTCCTCCCAACACCCCCGCGACAGTTCCCTGTGCCCCGAGGGCAAGGGTCTAGAGTCAAGGGAGGTGAGACCCAGGCAGGCCAGATGGCGCTAGCCCTGGCCCCCAGGCCCTGGAGAGGCTCCGCCCGGGGGGGACAGGTGGCAGACAGAGCCCGGGGAGCTGGGGAAGGGTGGCCAGGCAGGACAGGGACGCCACACACCCCTCAGCTTCCACAAAGTGGCCCCGGGCTGACAGGCAGGCGGCATGGCGAGGACCCCTCTCAAGGAAGCCACCAGCCCAGGGCAGAGCGGCAGCGACTGGCAGGTGCTGGGGAAGCGGCTGCCTCAGTCTCTCCTCCAAGGGGTGTGGTGGCCGGCGATGAGCAGCCCTCGAGTCCCACTGCAGCCAGGCTTTCCGACCCGCGTCTGTGTCAGTCTTCAGTATGAATGGACAGCCAAGATCACCAGCTATTTGAGGCAATCACCCCAAACTCACCAAAACAAATGGGGAATAAAACAGGGAACTCTGAGGAGAAGAGTAATATGGAGAGCAGATAGTTAGGAAAAAAACTATAATTAATCTCGGAGAAGTAAGAGAAGCTATTGCATTGAGAGGCGGCAGCTATTTTAAAGGCAACGAGAAAGAGCTCTAGGAAATTAAAAATAGAGTTGCAGACATTTTTAACCATAATAAATAGAAGAATGAGAAGACGGTTGAGGACACTGCCCAGAGAGCAGAACAGGAAGACTGGCACAAAGCAGTCCCGATGCTGGGGACGTGCACTCCGGCGGCGGCGGCGAGGGCGCTTGGAGATGCCAGCGTGATGCCGCAAG